CCCACCCCCAACCTCACCCTCTATTCTCTCACATACGCAGACACACACAACACACCAACGGTGATACAGACCACCGATTACCAGTCATCGGCGCCCGCCGTGCGCCGCTAGTCGTCCTTCGTCGCCTCCAGTCGACCTCCATCCAGAGTCAGCCACCGCCAACCTTGGCCGCCACCGCCCTCCCCAGCCGCTGAGAAGCCCCGACTCTTGCCGGCGTACTTCACCGCTGCCCCGACTATCGCCGGCATCGGGTCTGACAGACGACCTAGGCACCGCCGCACATCACCAGGTACAGCCGCCGCCGGACATGGTGGAGATCCGAATTGTCGGCCTTAAACTTGACTTCACCGGCATCATTCTCCACCTCCAAGTCTGAATCACCGACAATCGGTCGCTGTCGTCATCGTCATCCTTAATCGACCTCGTAGATTGAGATGCATCGGTGCCGGAAAAATTCAACCTTCAAGCTCGGAGGTCGAGCTTCAATGGCAGAGTTTCAAAAAAAAAAGGCTGAAAGTTGCAGGAATAATGACCTTCAAGCTAAAACTCGTTGATCCATGGGCTACGTGAGGTTGGGGGAGGATCTCGCTGGGAGCGGTGGGGGGCTGGAAGCCGAACGTCGACGGGACTGGGATTTGTATATAGGGGCACCATTTGAAAATTTGATATGCTTTAATGACTTAATTGCAAATTTTAAAAATTTTAATGAATTCCAATTTAGTTTATGGGTCAATTTGTAATTTACAAAAAAATAAAGAAAGAGTATTATTTGTATCTATTTTTTATGTATATTAATATGGTATATGTAATTTTTCATCCAGAAATTATATGAAGATATTAAATAAAAAACATTAAAAATCTAACTATATTTTTATATTATATATTGTAAAGTAGTACAATTCTTTAGGTCATTTTCGATTAAACCAACCAAATAACATCATATGAAAATTCAAATCGCATCATGCACAATAGTAATCATAATTACTAATTATGCACATTGGTGAATACCACACTGCACAACAGTGTTGGACTAAATGCACGTTAACGCGTTAGATAATGTACATTATCATAATGCTCTATACCGTCCAATAACACTTCGTGCCGAATAAAAAAAAATAAAGAAAAGAAGCTGGTATGATATTGTGCGTCTTCACATACATTAATCTAGTTATTCTTGGTCTAGTTTCGACTTTATTTACAGAGAAATTAAATAAATACGTAAATATCATAATCGGCCGAACTATATAAAAAAGTATTAATTATATAGTTTGTCTATACATATTACTTATTTTCAACATACACTAATATAAAATATTCAATAAAAAAATACATTACTAAATAAGTCTATTATATAAATAGATTGATAAATAGAAAACGATGTTAAGTGAAAATGCATTGTTAATTTTCTAAATTAAATGCAAATAAAAAATACCCCATCGACAGACTGCACAATAATGTTATGCCAAATGCACATTATTGAATGTGATAATGCACAATATAGATTTTGGTTTTTCATTATTATGTATTTTAAACAAAAATAATATTAAATATTAAATATAAATATTAAAATCGATTATATAAAGTATTTCGGTTAACCATAAAAAAAATACGATTTTTCAGTTTAGTTTGGGACACATCATTAAATACGTATGCACTGTGAGTGTGTGAGTGCACAATATTGTTACGCATGTTGCACATTAATGAATATCATATTGCACAACAGGAACCAAAACTAACCGAGCTGAAAATTTCAAATAAAAAAAATATATTTCGGTTTGAATACTTATTTTTATTATCAAAATCTATGTTATCGCAATGGCATTTTAATTAATTTTAATTAATTTGATTGATTTTAAATTTGTAAGCAGACACAATTCTTTAATTTCGTACAGAAATAATACATAAATTTTTATTGTGCACGTTTTCAGTAAATAGTGTGCATCTTGCATAACATTATTGTGCATTTATATATCTTTCATTAAATTAAATATTTGTCCCGTGC